AAGTGCTCGCGGGTGAAGATGAGGCTCAGGCAGGGGGCCGGGGCGCAGCGGCTGGGCTGGCAGCAGCTGGGGGCGCAGCAGAGGGGCTCGCAGCAGGAGGGCTCACAGCAGCTCTCTTGGCCATTGTCCACTGGCCATGAGTCAGTGCAAGTGCTGGGTATGCAGACCCGGCTGCCTGCCCCCCGGTCACTGGAGCAGACGGAGAGGGTGGAGGCAGCGATGACACAAGTCCTGGTATAGCAGGTGTCCGCCATACTGGAGCTGTGGAGGGGACAGGTGTGCATGCAAGTGTGTGTGTGTGTGTGTGTGTGTGAGAGAGAGAGAGAGAGAGAGTGTGTGCTGTAGAGGTGCTACAGGCTCTCAGGGTTTTATACCCCTCTTGGTGTTTCCCTCGGGAGTCTCTGGCTTTCCCCTTCCTGTTTTTGCTCAGATTCTTCCCCGGGAGCCCTGCTCTGTGACTTTCCATGGTGCTGACTGCAGCTGTGCCCGGAACACCTGCGTGTGCGGGGTGGGGCCAGACACTGGGCCTGCATTTGTGTCACGAAGGTGCCCTCTCCGGGGCTGTGGCTGCGGGGACCTGGGGCTCTGCTGTCTCTCTGTCACCACATGCCGCCTCCTCCCCGGGCTCCCTCCCCACCCGCTGACCGAAGAGGCGCCTGACCTGGGGCCCCTGCAGAGGTCCCCCCCAGACACCATCCTCAGTGTCCTGTTTACGTCAGCGCTCTCTTGACCGCTTGAGTTTTCCGTCCGGGGCATGGTCCGATCTGCGGAGGACGGGGCTCTCCTGGGTTCACCGCCAGCCTCCTGAAGAGCCCCCGTTTCGTCCTCAGCATGCGGTTCCGCTGGCGCTTAGGTTGGTGTTGTTTTTCCCCGCGGCTGAGTCTGCAGCGTGGAACCGGAGCCCATTTCCTCACTTGTGCTCCTGGCGCTTGTGTTTCCCACTTGCGGGGAGTTAAAGATGCCTCTTTCTTCTCTTGTTTTCCATGCGCCTATCATTAAATCCTCCCCAAACAAGCTGCTGTCACGGAGCCTCCCCTCCCGCGGGTCACTAGTCAGCTTCCTTCCGTGTCGTGAGCCTCTGTGCTACCCCTCTGTGCCCCGGGCCGGTCTGATGGCCTCTCCTGCCCTGCCGAATCCAGATGTGTCCTCCGCCTCCCTCAGGGAAGTGCTTGGCTTTCCTCCTCCCACTCTGCTGGATACACTGGTGCCTGCCTTGCCTTCCTGGACTCACGCTCCTCATTTTGGAGGAAAGCGTCCTCTATGGCTTTCTGGAAACAGGGGCGTGGAGATGCCGTGTGCCTCAGGGTGCTTTGTTTCCCTGTACGCGGTCGCTGGCTTGGCACTGGCCACGTGCTCCCATACGGTGCCTCGCTGAGGGTTCCAGCCTTCCCAAGTCCTTGGGTGCCTTGCGGTCTCTCGCAGACTCCCCCACCTGCCTCGGTCCCCACTGTCCCGAGAGGCCTGGTCTCTGCGGCCCTTCGTCCATGGCTCCTCCGCTGAGAGATGTCTGTGTGCTTTATGCCTGCTGGCATCCACTCACTGATTGGTTTTTTCTGTGCTGTAAACGGTTGCGTTAATCCATATTGTGTGCTTTTGTCCATTCCAGATCCCAGGGATAGGAATTTAGATGGTTTCAGATTCTGTACAAGGGTAATTTTGTTGCTGTAAAAATTCATATCCATTGTCTTGCTGGACGCATTTACTAATTTCTCTTCATCCTACAACCAAAAGTGGGACTGCTGGGTCACATGACAGGTACAAGTTTAGTTTAGCAACTACCGCCTGACAGCTTTCTAGGGAAATTCAGATTCTCACCAGTTTCACGAATCCCACCCAGTCCGTCTATAGCTTTACAAAATGAGAGACCAACAGTCTTCATGTTTTTGTCTGTGTTGGAAGGGCTGTGGGAACGTGGCCCTGTTGCATGATTTGCAGGTTGATGACTAAAGCCCTTCGCTGGTCCTCTGCATGGCTTTGCTTGAAGGGCCCGTTTAAGCCATTCGCTTGCTTCAGTTTTAAATACTCGTCTGTATTCCTGGCTGTGTGCAGCGTACCACACACCCGGCGTGAGGTCTTGGCTGTGTGTGTGCAGCAGTGGTGTGGCTGTACCGCAGGGTGCCTGCCTGGTAGGACCGGGTGCGGTGTTCGGTCGTGGACGTTGTGTGTGTAAGGAAAGTGGTGTCCAGAGTCTCCAGAGGGTGCAATTCCCGCACACCATGCTTGCCTGTGACGCCCGCCTCCCCTCGTCATGGACCTCACGTCCCCCTGTCCTGAGCCACCGCTGTGGTGTTCATGGTGCCTTCTGAGGATCAGGAGTCCTGAGCCCAATAAGATCCAGTTTACTAATTTTCTCTTTTATGGTTTACATCCCGTTTCTGAAGTCTCTGGCAAACCATAATATCATGAAACATTCTCCTACATATTCTAGATCTTTGTTTCTATCGTATTCTCCTATTTCTTACTTAGTTTTCCACCAGCAGAGATAACAGTTGTGCATACTGATGGGGCACAATGGGAGGCTTCGATCTACACACATTGCAGAGACGTGCGCCAGGCTAGCGACCGCCAGGCACCAGCGCTCCCTTTGTGGCGAGGACGTTCAAATCCATGTCGCCAGGCAGCTCTGAGATGAGCAACCCATTCTTCCTGACTGCAGTGAGTCCCTCCCTCCCGGCGCATTTCCATCCTGGCCTCTCCGCCTCCTTTCCCCGCTCAGCTCCTCCCCAGCCCCTGGTACCCACGTTCTCCTCTCCGATTCCAGAGGCGGAGTCCTTAGATTCGGTGTGGGTGGGATCCTGTGCCATTTACCTTCCGCTCCCGGCTCACTTCACTTCCTGACCCAGGCCCCTCCGTGTTTCCGTGGATATCTTCACTGGGTCGCATCGTGCTTGTGCCACTGTGGACGCCGGCTGCGATTTCTTCATCCATCCGTCGCCGCTTCCTCATTTTCACTGTCATGGAGACCGCTGCGGTGAGCACGGAGGCGCAGATGCCTCCTCCGCAGAGCGTTTCCACCAGTCAGCTCTCCATGGCTGTAACAAACTCTGAGGCAAATGGCTCATAAAGGGCAGAGGGTGCTCTTGCTGGTTCCAGACCATGACACTCCTGTGGGTGTGGGGCGAGCAAACCCCTCTCATCACAGCACAAAGCAGAGGAAAGAGCCCAGAGCCTGGTGAACCCTTCCGGGACGTGCCCACCCCCAGGGGGCGCCCTCCTCCCACAGTCTGGGGACCCTGGAGATCCAGCCGGAGCAGATGGACTCCGGTGCCGGGCCCAGGACCAGATGCTAGCTCTGGTTTTAGCTTTTGTTGACCCTGCACACCATTTTGCATAGTGACTGCACCCGATTACACCCGGCCGATTCTCATTTCTTCCCCTGTCCCTGCCCTCCCTTCACCCCTCCTCCGCTTTACAAACACTTCATTTCCATTTTTCCATTTTCTCATGTTTTCCCCTTATTCCCCTTCCCCTACCCTTCCCACTTTCCCTACACCATTAGCCCCTTTCTTCCTATTTCACAAATAGGAACACTTGTCATCTTTAGGGGCTTTGGCAGCAGCCGCCTAGCAAACGCCAGGCGATAGCTCCTGGTGGTCTTGATCCACATGTCCTCGAGGGTCGGAGTTCTTTCTACACATGCTGGGGCCTTCGCAGGTCTTCAGGCAGTGCTGCTTCAGATCCTCCTACCCAGGTCCTAGCAGATGATTTCTCACTCTTAAATCGTTTTACTTCTGTCAGTGCCCTCACGTCAGCCTCTCATCGGTTGTATGATTTATAAATATTTTCTCCCAGTCCGTGGACCCACTTTCTGCTCCTTTGGTGGTTCTCTTTGCAGTGCAGCAACTTTTTAGTTGTTGCTGTTATGGAGCGGGGAGGGGTCCTCCTGGAGCCCCTCTGCTGGATCTGGGAGCCAGATTAGTGCAAGAGCCAGGGAACGTTAGAGAAGCTCACGAGTTTTATACCTGGGGACCCTGGCGAGAGAGTGAGGTCCCAGCCAGTGACTGACATGGGTGTTCACCGGCTTTTCGCACAGGGACGTGACTGCTGACGGACAGCGGGGACAGATGGCCACCTGGGTGGGGTGGTGCATTCCAGGGCTGTCACAGATGCACGGGGTGTGGGTGCTGCTGGGACGCAAAGGCTGCTCAGAGTGTGACAGTCCCGGGCCAGGCTGCCTGCGGTGAGGGGTTGGGGAGGACACCCCACACCGAGGGTCCAAGCTCACTGGCGCACACAGGACGGGACAGGCCCTGCCTCTGTCCTGGAGCCTCAGGTGACCTCAGCGGGAAGTGACCAACCAACCTCTGCCTGAGTGGCTGAGTGGCTTCGACAGTGACCCATTTGTCTATTTTTAGTTTTCTTACCTGCCTTGTTGGAGGCCCAGGAAATCGCTGCCCAGGCCACCACGGCCCTTCCTCCTCCCTTCCTCCAGGAGTTGTGGAGTCTTGAGTCTTCTGTTGCAAGCCTGCATCCACGCTTACTTAAATCTGTTCCCAGTCATTACCTGGGCTTATTTCCGGGCTCCTATCCCGTCCCACTGGCGGATGTTTGGTTTCGGAGTCTGTACCAAGCTGTCTCCATTCCAAGGGCTCTGTAATATATTTTGAAATCGGTGAATGTGCTGCCTCCAGTTTTGTTCTTTTCGTTCCAAGGGGCTCAGGCTATTCAGGAACTTTTGCAGTTCCACTTGAATCCATTTGGATTTTTTTTTTCCTTTCTTTTTTAAAAATAGGAGTGAAATTCATAGGATTTACATTGAATCTGTGGATCCTTGGGATAGCATGGACATTTTAATAATATTAATTCTCCCAGTTCATGAACATGGGACATTTTTCTATTTCTTTGTGTTTTTCTCAATTTCCTTCATCAATATTTTATAGTTTTCAGTGTACAGATCTTTTTGCTTTGCAGTACTGGGGATCAAACTCAGGACCTTGGGCTTGACAGGCAGGCAACAGTGCCACTGAGCTACATCCCTGGCCCATCCGCGTACAGATCTTTTATCTCCCTGGTTAAATTTATTGGTTAAAAGCTCACTTGGTTAAGTATTTTTATGCTACTGTAATTGGGATTGATCTCTTAATTTCTTTTTTGGATACTTTGCTGTTAGTGTACGGAAATGCTCCTGGATTTTGTACTTTGGTTCTGTAATCTGCCCCTTCGCTAAATGTATTTGCCAGTGCTGACAGGCGCTTGTCGGTTTGTTGTTTGTTCGGTCGGCTGGTGGTGGTGGGGACTGAACCAGGGCCGCCAGCGTGCCAGGCCGACACACCAGCGAGCCATGCCCCCTCCAGCAGCTTTTTGCTAAATCTCTACAAGAAAAGAAAACTGTGTGCCGCTGTGCCTCATGAATATAGATGCAGAAATTCCTAACAAAAGGCTAACAAGCTGAATCAATCTAAGCACATGTGGAAAGATCATTCACCATGATCAAGCGGGGTTTATGCCAGTGATGCCAGGGTGGCTCAGCATGCAGAAGACAACAAATGTGTTATACCAAATCAACAGCTGACGGCTGATCCCTAAGATCATGAAAGTCCTCAAAAAGGCCTCGCGGCACGACTGTGGCCCCGAGGTACTCAGCCCTTCCTCGGAGGTCAGGAATGAGCCTGGGACACACTCTACCCGCTTCCACTCAGGTGGTGCTTGGATTCCAAGCCTCAGGCTGGGCAGGAGACAGCGATGAAGGCCAAGGAGGGCAGGAGGGAGGGAAGCCGCCGGTGGGCAACATCGCGAGCTGGCTGTGGGTCTTCATCATTTCTTTTGCGCCCACGGCTGTCTTTGTGCGCAGGGAGGCTGACGCCAGGGCTTCCTATCCCGTACCGATGTTGGTTGTCCTCACCGCCACACTGTGGGCAGCGGCCCCTGTGCCCAGAACCGCTGTGCCAGGTGTCCTCCTGGGCCCAGCGCCCGCAGCACAAGACTAAGTGTTGCTCTGTGCGTCTGAACCTTCAAATCTGTGTCTCCCTGCATTCCCTCCTGCAGCATGTCAACTCCAGCCCAGCCCTTCCTCCGGCTCCAGCCCTCCCGCCCCCGTGCCTGTGCTCTGTGCCATCCTCTGTGCCACGTTGTGTCCTACCCCTTGAGTGGGCAGGTGACCAGCATCCGTGCCCAGTGTGTTTCCAGCCCAGCTGGGTGATTGGCACCTGCCGAGTGCACCCATGGGTTTCCGGGCACTTCCCACCTCACCAGCCAGCTCAGAGCAGTGGGAACCCTCAGCCGTAGCCAGAGCCTGTGCCCTGGATGGGCATTTCTAAGCCTCTGCCCCATTTTAATTCATGCTGTCCCCATCTTGGGGAGACTGCCGTGCTCACTATATGACATTTGACCAAGGTACCCACTCTGCAACTGCTTCCTTCCACCTTTTATTTATTTGTTTTCATTACAAATTCAGAATCTGAGTCCTTCTTCAGTCACAGGTGTTAATGGAGGTCACCTGTGTCAGCTGCCAACCGGCCAGAGTGGACGTCTGTGTCTCAAGACCCAGGGCTGTCAGGGAGTCACCCTGAGCGAGAGGCTCACTCACCCCTGGTGCCCTTCAATGCCAGGTGCCCCTCCCAGGGACACACCCATGGCCAGTGTGGGCGGCCTCCTGGCACCCATAATGGGACAGAGGCGTAACCACATGGGCTGGCCAAGTTAGCAACCACTGGGCAGCTGTGGGGTGGGCACAGGGTCCAGAGTGTCAGAGGCTCCAGAGGAGGAGTTCACTGGAAAGATGGGGGCAAGCCTCAGAGCCTGGCAGAAGGACCACCAAGAAGGAGGTCCACGTGTCCCAGCCTGGCTTATCTGCAGCCAAGTCCTCAGGCTGGGGTCCAGCCACATCAGAGCATCACTGCCCACCACGAAGGGAGGACCAGGCTGCTGACTGAGGACAGCACACTGAGACAGGGCTGTTTCTAGAGGAGGGAATGGCAGGAAGGCCTGGAAGAGGGGACCCTGGGCACTATGGGGACTTGCGGAAGAAGCCGGGGGGCGGGGCAGCAAACTCCCACAGTTATTTTAGCAGCAGGACTTCTGGCTTAGGGAGAAGCTGCTGCAGGCCAGGCGGGGCGGGGGCAGGGGGCAGCAGAGCAGGGAAACACGGGAGGCCAGGCAGCAGCAAGTGGGCTGGCAGAAAGAGGAGCAGAGGAGGAGGCAGGCACTCAGCAGGAAAGTCCGCACACGGGACGGCAGAGCAGGGACACAGAGGAGGAGGAGGGTGTGCAGCAGACGGGCTTGCAGCAGGACGGCTGGCAGGGGGAGCAGGAGCAGCAAGCTGGCTGGCAGTCAGACTGCTGGCAGCAGGAGGAGGAGGAGACCCCAGAGCAGACGGGGATGCAGCAGACAGGCTTGCAGCAGACAGGTGTGCAGCACACAGGCTTGCAGGAGACAGACTCACAGCAGGACGGCTGGCAGGAGGAGGAGCAGCAAACCGGCTGGCAGTCAGACTGCTGGCAGCAGGAGGAAGAGGCCTGGGAGCAGACGGGGGTACAACAGACAGGTGTGCAGCAGACAGGCTTGCAGCAGACGGGCTTGCAGCAGACAGGTTTGCAGCAGACGGGTGTGCAGCAGACGGGCTTGCAGCAGACAGACTCACAGCAGGACGGCTGGCAGGAGGAGGAGCAGCAAGCCGGCTGGCAGCTCGGGCTGGACTCACAGCTCACTGGGGTGCAGATGAGGCTCAGGCAGGGGGCCGGGGCGCAGCAGCTGGGCTGGCAGCAGCTGGGGGCGCAGCAGGGGGGCTCGCAGCAGCTCTCTGCGCAGTCGTCCACCTGCCAGGGCTCAGAGCAGACGGACATGGTGGAGGCGGCCATGGCGGGGTTGGGCTGGGAGTGAGTGTGTGAGTGTGAGTGTGAGTGTGAGTGAGGTGTGTGTGAGGTGCCGGGCTCTGGGCTTTTATCCCCCTCCCTGGCCCTGCGTCCCAGCCTTCCCTTCCTTGTTGGTGACCGGTTCCTGCCGTCATCAGGATGTTTGTTTTCCGTGTGTCCGGCTCATTAATTTCCTCCACATCTGTCCAGGAGCAGGCATGGCAGGCCCGGGCCCACGGGGTGTGGAGTGGTGAGGGCTGGGGTGTCACATGGTGGAAGGCACCTCCGCCGTCCAGGAGGTACTGGAACATTGTCCACCGCTGGCCGGGCAGCGAAGGACCTTTGCTCCCTTTGCAGGAAGCCAGCCCTGGGGAAGTGTTGCCCTGGGCCCTGACCCTGCACCCAACATCCCCACCCTGACCTTGATAACAGGACATTTGTCACCTGGGGAGGGGAGTCCAGAGTTGGGGCCACGTAGATGTACGGGGTCCATGACTGCGCTCAGAGCCCTGCCAGCTTCTGCACGGCTTCTCCTCCCCTCAGCGCCTCGCCACCTGTCCCCTGTCCTTGTGCCCGGGGCAGCAGGACTGTACCACAGGCGCAGAATCCACGAATGCAAGGGTTGGCTGTGCCCACCATCAGTCCATCTTGCCTGTCCATCCATCCATCCATTTATCCCGCTGCCACCTGTGTCTGTACCTGTCATCCGCTTACCATCTAGCAGCTGCCCCTCGCTTCCTGTCATCACCGACCTGTCAGCCCATCAGCGATGTCCCGTCTGTCATGTGCCTCGGCCGCTGGCGGTTTCTGTGTCTGGGATGTCTCCTTCTGCCATTTATTGTCTTTGTACCATCTCTCCACCACCTGTCCATCACCACCTGCACCCCCTCATCTCTGTAAATGGCTGTCATGTCTCTGCCCACCCACGCTCCGTGTATCTGTGGATACATGTAACACGTCTGTGTGTGCACATACATGTCTCTGTGTGTGTGGTTTTTAAATTTCTATTACATATTTTAATACCTTATTTACAACATTGATGGATCATCTGACCCACAAGGGTGTGGAAGACTTGAGCAGCCAGCTACACAATGGGACTCATTCCAGCCACAGCAGAAGACGCCTTCATCCCAAGGGTGCACTAAGTACCCCAGATGGGCTGCAGGCTACACAGGAAAAGAGCCTCAGTGAACTTATTGATTTTTGTAGTTCTTATTTTCATTGCTACATATCTGCAGAATGTAATGATGGCCTTCCTTGTGGGGAGTTGGTGCATGTACATGACACACATTCTAATAATTCCCCATACCTCCCCTACCCCTCCATATCCCCTTCCCTTTCTTTTAGGAAAAGATCCATCTCCCTGTTTACTTTTATGTACCTTTTATTTAGCTCTTTAACTTATTTATACTTTGGGTTTCTCATATAAGACAAACCATGAGATATTTAAGCTTGTGTGTCTGCTTTAGTTTTCATAACTTGACGATCTCAAGGTGCTTTCATTTACTTACAAATGACTCAAGTTTGTCCTTCTGTATGTCAGAGTAGGACCCCGTGGTGTGTACGCAGCTCATTTTCCTTATCCACTCATCTGTTGATGGACAGGTGTGCAGCAGACACGTGTGCTGCTTCCAGGATTTAATTATTATGAGTTGTGCTGCTATCAAATGGATGTGCATGGATCCCTGTAATATGATGTCTTTAACTCTTTCCGAAAGATACCTAAAAGGAGGATAGCTGAGCCTAGTGCAGTTTCTAGTGTTAGTCTTTTGAGGAATCTCCATACTGATTTCCATACTTGTGTGAGTTTACTTTGCCACCAACAGTGTAGAAGGGCTCCTTTGTCCCCATAGCCTTGGCAGCATTCACTGATTGCTGATGATGGCCATTTTTCCTGGAGTAAGATAGAATTTCGGTGTCCTAATTTGGATTTTTCTAATGCCCAGTGATGTTGAATGTTTTTTCACGCATTTATTGGCCATTTCTACTTCTTCTGAGGTGTCTGTATTTATCTCAGTAGCCCAGATTTTCACTGTCATTATTTTGAGAGGTCTCATTTTTTGAGTTCTTTATATATTGGAGATTAATCCTCTGTCTGAGAAATAGCTAGCAAAAAATTTTTTCTCATTTTGTGGGTTGTCTCTCCCCTCTGTTGGTTATTGTCTTAACTATACAGGAGGTTTTTAGTTTAGTTTGATCCCATTTGTTGATTCTTGGTGCTATTTGCTATGCAATTGGGTTTCTGTGCAGAAAGTCCTTGCCTGCACCTATGTCTTCGAGAGTTTTACCTATTTTATCTGCCAGTAGATTAAGTGTTTCTATTTTAACATTTAGATCTTTGATCCATTTTGATTTTAGTTTAGTACATGGTGAGATAAATATGGGTCTATCTATATTCAGTCTTCTGCATGTGGATAGCCAGTTTTTACAACATCATTTACTAAAGAGGCTATCTTTCTGTCCAGTATCTGTTTTTGTCCCTTTTGTCACAAATCAGATGGCTGAATATGCCTGGGATTGTATCTACTTCCTCTATTCTGTTCCTTTGATCCTCATGTCTCTTTTTCTGCCAATACCATGATATTTTTATCACTGTAAATTGGTAATATAGTTTGAAATCTGGGATTGTGATGCCTCCTGCTTTGCTATTATTGTCTAGAATTATTTTTGCTATTCTGGGTCTCTTCTGGTTCCACATAAATTTTAGGATTGTTTTCTCTAGTTATGAGAGGACTTTTGTTGGTATTTTTATTAAGATTGCATTTAATCTATGCATTAGATTTGGTAGCCTGACCATTTTGACAATACTGGTTTTACCTGTCCAGGAACAGGGCATATATTTCTATTTTCTGTTATCCAATTTGCTCTTCTCTTTCAAAATACTGTAGTTTTCTCTGTACCAATCTTTCACTTTCTTGCTTAGGTTAATTCTTAAATATTTAATTTTTCTTGGTGATATTGTAAATGGTATAATTTTCCTAATTTTTTTCTTAGTAAATTCATTATTGGTGTTCAGAAATGCTATTGCTTTCTGTCTCTTGGTTTTGTATCCTGTCACACTGCTGAATTTGGTTATTACTTTAAGAATTTTTTGTTGGAATTTTTGGGGGGTCTTCTATGTAGAGGATCATATCACCTGCAAATAGTGATAATTTGACTTCTTCCTTTCTTATATACATCTCTTTTATTTCTATCTCTTGCCTGACTGGTCTGACTAATGTTTCAAGTATTATACTGAACAAGTGTGGTAATATTGGACATCCTTGTCTTGTTTCTAATTTTACAAAGAGAGCAATCAGCTTTTCCATGTTTAATATTATGCTGTCAGATGGCTTTATCAGATTGAGATGAGGCCCTTCTGTGTTTCCTTCAAGGTTTTTATCATGAGCCAGTGATGGCTTTTATCAAAGGCTTTTCCTATATCTAATGAGATGATTGTGTGATTTTTGCCCTTGCTCCTGTTTCTGTGATGTTTTGCATTTATTGCTTAGCATATGTTGAACTATCCTTGCATCCCTGGGATGAAGCCTACTTGACCATGACATATGATTTTTTTTAATGTACGCACTTTTTGGTGGTATATTACATTCTGTTTGCCTGTGTCTTGTTGAAATTGTGCGTTTATATTTCACTAAAGAGATTGGGCTATAGTTCTCTTTTCTGATTGGTACCTTGTCTAGTTTTGGAATTAGGGTCATGATAGTTTCCCAGGATGACTGTAGGAGTCCTGCTTCCCTTCAATTTCATTAAAGAGTCTGAGGAGTGTTGGCATTAGATCTTCCCTGAAGTTCCTGTAGAACTCAGTGGTGAATCTTTTGGGTCCTGGGCTTTTCTTGTTGGTAGATTTTTTTATTACTACTTCAATTTAATTACCTTTATTGAATTATCTGGATTTTTACACCTTCTTGTGTCCATTTCGGTAATTCATGTGTATCTAAGAATCCACCCATTTCTTCCAAGTTCTCCACTTTATTGGCATACGGAGTTGTGACATAGTTGCTGATAATCTCGTGGATTTCAGCAGGGTCCATTGTGATTTCACCTGTTTCGTTTCTGACTGCAGTGATTTGTGTCTTGTCTTCTTTGGTAAGACTGGGTGAGGGTGTGTTTATTTTGTTATTCTTTCAAAGAACCAGCTCTTTGATTCATTGATTCTTTGTATTAGTTTTTTAGTTTCAATTACATTAACAATTGCTCTGATCTTTATAACCCCATTCCTGTATTAGCTTTGGACTTGGACAGATCCTGTTTTTCGAGGAATTTGAGATGCATCGTTAAGTTATTTGGACTCACTCTGTGTTTTTTATGTGAACATTCACAGCTATAAACTTCCCTCTTAGGATTATCTTCATTGTGTCCGATAAGTTCTGCTGTGTTGTACTGGCATCATCATTTGATTCTACCACTGTCTAATTTCTTCCTTGACTTCTTCTGTGGCATGCCTCTGTCCTGAGACCTGACCATCTCCATGAATTTGGGAGGGTGGAATGCAGTGTATTTGCCTAGCACCTTGTTCTCCAGAAATGAGCCAAAGTATTGTTGATAACACAAAATCAAATCAGATACTGGCAAAGCCCAATGAATTGTTTAAAAAATAAATACGGACAACAACTATATTCATGGCGATAGCAACAGAATTGTCATCAATAATAGAGTCAAAGACAAGCTGGGTATTGATTGACACACCATGAGAGCTAATAGGGCCGGGGATGTAGCTCAGGGGCACCGCGCCTGCCTGGCAAGTGCAAGGTCTTGAGTTCAATCCCTGACACCAAAAAAATAAAAAAGCTAATACAAGCTACCCCTGTGCCACTCTTGACAGAAAAGAGATATTTAATAATAATATAAACACAAAGACAAGCCAAACATTGACATGTAGTAAATATCTATTAAATGCAACAACTTCACCACCATTATCAATAGAAAAGAATCAACAGTAAAGAGCATGGAGCTAACTAAACATCTAAGGATTAATAAAGCTTAATAGCAAACAAGTAAAGATGGAAAGAGTGGGGAACGGCAGAATGAAAGAAGTTAAATTTGAAAATTACAGAAAGGGAAGGTGAGAAGAAGAGGAAAGTGAGATAAAGAATATTAGGAAGCAAAATGAAATTAATAGAATTAGATAAAAATAACAGAAAGAACAAACAAAGAAAAGGAAAAACAAAAAAGAAACAGTGAAATAACCCCAAACTCCAAAATAACTGATGAAGAAAAAGAAAGAAAAGGAATGTCTGGAACATAATTCCTCTGTATTTTTTTTTTTCCGGTATTAGGGATCAAATACAGGATCTTGTACTTTCCAGGCAGGGGAAGTGCCACTGAGCTACATCCCCAGCCTCAGTGTAGCCACTGAGTTTTATCCCCGATGGAAAAACATCTGTATTTTTTATGAGTAGTTTCATTCCAGGATCTTCAGTCTTGAAATCCAGCAAGTCACAGTTTTCTCCGCCTGTCTTTCTGACGTGTCGGTTGTGAGGTGTCCCCAACCCCTCCAGAGGCCCCTCTGTCCACAACCCTCTCAGGCTGTGCCAACCCTTTGACCCGTGGTGCATCCTCGCTCGTGTTTGCAGATGAGGAAAGCAGTCAGACCACTTCTGTGATGCATGTAGACAGCGGGACAACAGTCCAAATTGGCTGCTGGGTTTAATTCTCCAAAAGCCACACACACCACACCTGATGACTTCACCAGGGAGGGTAGGGCCTGTGACCTCCCCAGCCTGAGCATAAACTCCTCAGGGGTCTGTGTCTATCCTGCACCCTCTCTACGACTGTCTCCTTGTGGCCGTCTTCCACCCTGTCTCTGGGGCAGGGTGACCCCGGAAACCTGGGGCTGAAGTCTTTCTGTGGCTCGGGCTTAAGCAATTAACCCCTTCCCCAAACGGCTCCTGATTAAACCACCCTCCCAAATATGGCGGGCACTGCGCTGGGTTTCTCCTCCAAATCTGGCCTGCCGTGTCGGGGAGGTCACTTTCAGAGTAAAGCCTCACACTATTTTTGCAGTTTACAATCACCGTGGGTTTTTCTGGAGGCCAGTGATGCTGGCCTAGTTTGATGTTTCTCCCTAGTGCTGCTGCCCTCGCCGGCTCACCTTGTGTCTGCAGACCCAGGCCTCCGGCAGCCAGGGCAAGCTTTCCAGACTGCATTCTTCTCTGCGTTCTGCTGCATTTCTCCTGCTTCTCTGTGTTTCTAGTTTCCTGTCAGCTCCAGCCCCCCAGCCCCCACCGCCAGTTCCTGGAGATCTACTTCTTTTTTCTCTTCACCAAGTTGCTATTTTCCGGTGTCTGCATTTTGGGTCCTGGAGAGTCTGTGTCTTGCTGCTGATCCCTACTCTGCCGTTTTTCTCTCCTGTGTGTATACATTTTTAAAACATGAGTACTCATCTTCTGCCCACTCCACTGATTTAAACTTGATGGAGCAGGAGCTCCTGTCCTGTGATCAGGAGAGGACCTCTCTCCTGTTGCTGGCTGCTGAGCACTCGTGATTGGTCTGCCTGTCCCTTTCCTGTCACCCATGTGTTCCCACTGTAGAGAACTCGCGGCTCCCTGCAGGCTGTCAGACTGTGTGCCTCCGTTTCTCATGGCTGCTGACAGGAGATTGCCGCAAGTCCTCCCAGGTGACCCTTCCTGAGGGCACCCACTGCAGGCATCCTCACCTCCCCCGGGGGCCTCCCCAGATGGGGATCCCGCACCCCGTCACCCACCCGAAGTGTTCCTCGTGCCATGAGCACATTATGGCCCCACCGCACTCCTGCGGTGGACGCCGGAATCCTTCTCCCACGTCTGTCACAGTGTGGTGGACAGCGTGTCTGCTGTGATACCTGTGCGCCTGCCTTGTGCCAGGTACGAGTACCTGAGGCGTTCACGACTGGCTCAGGGTAGGAGGCTTTGAACTTCAAGACAGAGCAGCCTGGGGCGCAGATCTGCAGGACCGGCTGCAGCCAGCAGTGGCCACAGGGTGGCACCTGCGTGGCCAGCGAGGGCCCAAGGGGCCCAGGAGGATGCCTTCCAGGTGCTTGTGAGGGCGCCTGCCGACCTGTCTGCAGCGGCAGAGGCCCCGGCCTTCTGAGGTATGTGTGAAGAGTGGTGCGACGCAACGATCCATCCTCTCCTCTCACCCGGAGGGGTCAGGCCCGTCCCCCTGCTCCAGAGCCTCCGTCTCCATCGCTTCTCTCGGGGTCCTCTGCTCGGCTCCTGTCACACCATCATTTAGGTTCAGTGTGTACGGACGAGGTGAAGCCGGCGCTGTCTCTCTGGGTGTAATTAGGTTTACCTGTTGGTGTTTTATGCTTTCTGTGTTTTACTGCAGACTCAACACAGCCTTCCCACTCCGCATCAGCTCCACCCCCACTTCTAGCCACTGGGACTTTGCTGCCCCTCCTTCCGCTCTAGCTTTGCCTGGTTTCCCTTGTATGCTCTCTGCTCTTACTTGGTACCTGTGAGGTTAGAGCCATTACACATGCCCGGTGGCCAGATCTTGCTAACTTCAAGAAAAGTCTCTTTCACCACTCCTCTTGCTGAAATCTACTTCCCCTCACGTCTCTGTGGCCCCAGCTGATCAGTGAGACGCAGTCACTGCAAGATCACATTGCCTAGCTCGCCACTGCCGTCCTTTCTGTCCCGCATACATAGGAGCCGTGTGTTCCAAGCAGGGCATAGTCCTATTTTTAACCAGATTGACCCTCTATTCCTTTCCACGGAATGCTTCGTTCTGCGCATGGCTCAAGTTCAGCATATGCTCTGCTGCTGTCACTTCCAACAAAGCACCAGGACCACAGGAAACGACTGCGCCACACATCTCCGGCCTCAAAGTGTCACTGTTCTCCTTTTAATCAACACACGGTTCAGAGTCCCCTGGATATTGTAGATGCAGCATACGTTGTGAACAGCCTAGAGAGAGGTGCGGCCTTGGACCCCAATATGCTCAGGAAATTGACAGCATTTGCGACACTCAGAACCAAACATGGCAGCAATAAGCACGTGGCATAATAAGAGCTCTCAGGTTCCCACCAAAACAAGGAAGGAAGCCGGCATGCTGTGTGCAGGGATGCAGCCAACTGAGTATAAAATCCCAGAGCCCAGCACCTCACACACACCTCACTCACACTCACACTCACACTCACACTCACTCCCAGCCCAACCCCGCCATGGCCGCCTCCACCATGTCCGTTTGCTCTGAGCCCTGGCAGGTGGACGACTGCCCAGAGAGCTGCTGCGAGCCCCCCTGCTGCGCCCCCAGCTGCTGCCAGCCCAGCTGCTGCGCCCCGGCCCCCTGCCTGAGCCTCATCTGCACCCCAGTGAGCTGTGAGTCCAGCCCGAGCTGCCAGCCGGCTTGCTGCTCCTCCTCCTGCCAGCCGTCCTGCTGTGAGTCCGTCTGCTGCAAGCCTGTGTGCTGCACACCCGTCTGCTGCAAGCCCGTCTGCTGCACCCCAGTCTGCTGCAAACCTGTCTGCTGCAAGCCTGTCTGCTGCACACCTGCCTGTTGCACACCTGTCTGCTGCAAGCCCGTCTGCTGTACACCCATCTGCTCTGGATCCTCCTCCTCCAGCTGCCAGCAGTCTGGCTGCCAGCCGGCTTGCTGCTCCTCCCCCTGTGAGCCGTCCTGCTGTGTGTCCATCTGCTGCAAACCCGTCTGCTGCACACCCTCCTCCTCCTCCGTGTCCCTGCTCTGCCGCCCCGTGTGCAGACCCGCCTGCTGAGTGCCCACCTCCTCCTGCCAGCCCAGCTGTTGCATGCTGCCCTCCTCCTCCTCCATGTCCCTGCTCTGCTGCCCCACCTGTCCCTGCCCTGCCTGCTGTAACCTCCTCCTGGGCCAGAAGTCCTGCTGCTGACCTGCTGGTCCCCCAGGGCCTGGCCAGGCCTTTCCTGGGCTTGCACCCCCTAGCCTGGTCTTGACCTGGGTTAGTGGGCTGTCCCCTCCCCCCGAGGACAGTCCCCCATGTCCACAGTGATGGCCTGGCCTCTCCTCCCAGGTCCTCTGCTGTCACTTACCCTGAATCTCACTCTCAGCCCCTCATGGCATCAATAAACCCTCCCTCTCCTGATTCTCTGCCTCTTGTGCTCATGGGGACACACGGTCTGGGTCTCATCCAGCTATGGACATTGCTAGGAGCAGGGGACCTCACTGACTCCCTGGGTCACTCTAGGACTCCGTGCCCAGGGTCTTGGTCCTGCCAGGTCCATACCTGGGCTTCCTGAAGTGTCCTGGTCAGTCTCCAGGCCCTGTGATGGGGGAACACCGTCCACGCCGGAACCTAACAGGGAGCCCTGCCACCCTGATGGTGCCTGCCCGCCCGCACCCCAGGACCTCCCCAGCTCGCTCTCCAGGCTGCTGCCATGACCTGTGCAAGACTTTTGCCTTACCTTAACCCTCTTCCACCTCCCAAGTCAGTTCACAGTCGCCTCTGTCAAGGTCTGAACTACGTGTGACCAAGGCACCTGCTTGACCCTCCCTTGGCCGAGGCTTGAAGGTGATCTGCATCCTGCGCGCCAACTTGCCAAGCGATGACACAGTCGCCCTGCCTCAGGGCCTCGTGTCCTTTCCCCACCAGCGCCCTTGTCGGGCTGGACAGCTGCTCGCTGAGGTGTGCGTGCCCTGCGTGCACTCCGGCCGCCGACGGCTGTCACACTTCTACCGCGAAGGTTCCCTGCGTCCGCAGCTCCACTCTCCACCCTCCCGGCAGCGCTGGAGGCTGCACTGTGCATCTTTGTGAGGTCCGGTCCAGCCTGCCCTTTGCCCGCCCAGAGTGTGTGGGGTGGGGTGTGTGGTGTTGTAGGGTGTGTGGGTCCATTTCGGGACTCTGTTCCTGAAAGGGAATAGTGACGCTCACAAGTAGGCCACACACACCGAGAGGTCCGGCTGGAGATTTTATTCAAGGGGTGGGCGGGGAGAGAGCAGAGAGAGAGAGAGAGAGAGAGAGAGAGAGAGAGAGAGAGAGAGAGGCAGGTCCTTTTATCAGTTTCAGGCCGGGCTATTGCTTATTCATGAGGAGTGGGCTACCTTTAACCTATCACAGGCCAGCTTGTCTTTTATGGGTTCAGCCCTGCAGAAACAGGTTTCAACTTCTTTGTCTCTCTGTGGCCTTGGTGGGAGGGAAAGTAAAGATAAGAGCATGAGGTCATTCTAAGAGCCAAGAAGCACCAGGAGAATGCAGCCTGTGCTGGAGGCATCACAAAATACTTTAACAATCAATTCCCTAACAGGCCCCTTCTGTTCCTCTGTCTCACACCACACCACAAGCTGTTTCCAAATCCGTGTAGCTGTTCATTAAATCTTGAAATCAAATAATATAAATTCTCCAGTTCTGTTTTTGTTTTTCCAAATTGCTTGGCTGTTTGGGGCCTTTTTGTGTTTCCCCATAGGTTTTTTTTAACTACCTCATTGATCTTGACAGCAAAGCCCACTGTTCTTTGATCGAAACTACTTTAAATCTGTGGATCATTTGGGGAAGAGTTGAACACAGTTTTGTCTTCCAGCCTGTGAACATGATGTTCACCTCTCTCTCCAGTCATTTAGGGTTTCTTCAATATTTTTCAGCAATGTTTCTCATCGTTAGCATATTGACCATGTACATATTTTGTCTGTTCTTTTTTTAATATTTTAGTTAACGCTTTGTTTATTCATTTCCAACTGTTGATGGCTACCGTGTACAAATACCACTGGTTTTATATTTGATCTCCTGTCCTGTGAGTTGTTAAGTTCATTTACGAATCCTAGCAGACTTTCTGTCTGCTCCTTAGCCCAGAATCATGGTGACTGAATCTTTTTCCACGGCCACCCTATGTTAGTTACTTTTCTTGTGTTGCTGAGACAAAATACCCCACATCCAAAGTTAAAGGAGGAAAGTTTTATTTGGCTCACGGTCTATAGAGGTTTCAGTCCATAGTCGGTTTGGTCCAAGACAGTGGGGGCAGAGGAGGAACAGTTCATGGCAGCGAAAGACAGCAACAGCAACAAGGGACTTAACAGCATCTTCCTGCCCCTTTTATCTTGTTCAGACCTCTTAGGGCAGGTAGCACTCATGGCCTTAATCCTAGTGTCCTTGAGCCCAGCATTGCGCCATGAATCAATCACACGCTATAGACTCGGCCGCCTCCAAAATAGTCCCACCCCATTCACATGAGGCTTTGGGGGACATCTAGACACAAGCTGTAACATTCTGCCCCTGGCTCCCTAGAGACTCCTGCACATCCCTTTATGCAAAAGGCATTTAGTCTGTCTCTAAGAGTTGCTGAAGTCCTAACAGTTTCAGCATTGCTGAAAAGCCCAAGTCCCGAGTCTTCTCTGAGATTTAAGGCAAACTTTGAAAAGAAAGTCAAACACTTCCAACATTCAATGGCACAAGGTGGACTTTACCACTCCAGGGGTACAAATAGACAAAGGAATGGGACCAAGCAAGTCCAAAACCCAGCAGGGCAGACATTAGATCCCACAGTTCCGTTTCCAGCATCCACAGCAACCTGTGGCAAGTTGTGAGCGCCGGAGGGCTTGGGAGGCTCTGCCCTCGGCACTGCAGATGGCTGTAACTCCCACAGCTTCTCGCCAGGCTGGCCCTGCTTCCTCCTTCAGCTCTCCTCAGATGATCCACATCCTGGCTTCTCCATCCTTCTGGGCTCCCTGTTGCCCCTTTGGCTTCACACTCACAGTGTCACACACTGCTCTCAGGGGCCCTCTGCCTGGCCTCCCAGGGCTTCTTTTGAGATCTAGGCGGAAGCCTTCCTGCCCCCTCAACTCTTGCATTCTGCATGCGCCTAAAACCAACACCACATGGGTGATGCCAAGGTCTGCTGCCGGCTTCCCTCTCTAGGCTGTAGGGGTCAAGCATCTGGATCGCTGAGCACTCTGAACCAATTCTGAAGAACAAGTTCTCTAGGATGTTGCCATTCAGGAACATGGTGCTCTGGGGCTGTCTTCTCAGAGCAAAGTCTTTCACCTTTGCAACTACGAGGCTGCAAATGCTGGAGTCCTATTACTTCTTGTGATGCCCTCAGGCCACCTCTTCTATTCTGTTCCTTCTCAGCAATCAAGATCTCCTCTGTTCTGTCTTTGCAGGCTGCAACTTTACTGGAACTTCCTTTCTGGCCAAACTCAAGAGTGTTTTAAATCATTCTGCTGGGCTCTTTGCTCTTGATTCTCAACATAAATCTGGCCAAAGTCCCCAACAGTAGCCATACCACCTCCTTAGCATTAGACTGCCTTGAAATGTCCTCTGCCAGATTAATTAGTCTGCCACCCTTAATCTCAGTCTCAGTCAAAGTCTCTGAACTTGAGCAAAACGCAGAGAAACTTTCTGCCAGGCCATAACACACATCCACACAGCCATCCGTCCTTCCTCCCACCAGAAACCTCCCCAGCCTGGCCTTTACTGGCTTTCTGGTCTTCTGAGCTCTGACAGAATCTCCCATAAACAACAGCCTACTGCGCTCCAGCCCTACTTTTTCAGCTGGGATCTCCAAACCTTTCCTAACTCTTTCCCCTTCCCACAGGCCAGTGCCAAAGGCTCTTTAGCCACACGGCCAAGTAAAGTCACAGCAATGACCCCACTGCCCTGGTACCAAATTCTGTGTTAGTCACTCTTCTCTCGTAACTGAGACAAAATACCCAACACTCAAAGTTAAAAGGGGAAAGGTGTATTTAGCTCACAATCTGTAGAGGTTTCAGTCCACGGTCAACTGGCTCCAAGGCAGGGATGGCAGAGAGGCAACAGTTTATGACAGCAGAAGACAGCGAAAGCAACAAGGGAGCCTTACCTATGCCTCCCTGCCCTTTTATCTTCTTCAGGCTGCTGAGGGCGAGTAGCACTCACATCCTAGCGCTCTCAGGCCTAGCGCTGTGCCATGAATCAATCCCACACTCTAGATCCAGCCACCTCCAAAAGAGCCCCACCTCCTACTGCATGAGGCTTTGAGGGCCATCTACACACGACCATGTGTACACAGGGCTTTTGTGTCTTTTCTTGCCATGTTATGATATGAAGGACTGGGGACTGTGTGGACTAGAAGTGGGGGCGGGTATTTCTGCCCCATCTTGGTCTTGGGAGGGTTTTCCCCAGAAAGGGCAATGGAGGTTCTCTTTTATTCCTAGTTTTCTGGGGTTTGATTTTTTTAATAAACAGATGTTGAATTTTAGCAAATGCCTTTTTTACATCTGTGAAAACAATCACAGGGCCTTTTTTTTTTTTACTTATTAATATGGTGAGACATATTGATTTACTTCTTTTATGCCAACCTCATACTGCAGACAAAAACCACTTACCTGTGAGCATTGCTCCTTCTACACGGCGCTGGATTCAATTTGCTGATATCCTAGTAACTTTTTTCCCTGTATTCATGAGACGCAAAGATCTGCAGCTCTCTTTTCTCCTGATGGTCCTCTCATATTGGATATGTTGGAATAAGGCGAAAAGTTTTCCCTCCTCCGCTGTTTTCTAAAACTGCTTGGGTGAGACTGGTGTTATTTCTTCTGGGAACTCTCAGAACCTAGCAGCAAAGCCTTTGAGACTATCATTTGCTTTGTGTTAAGGGTTTTAGTTATGAATTGAACCTTTTCAATTGAGAGGGGTTTTTTTCTCTTTTTTCCTTGTATTAGTTTTTGTCCTTTGTATCTTTCCGGTTATGTGCCTGTTCCGTAGAAGTCACTGACTGTATGGGCATGAAGTTATTTGTGGTATTTCTTCACTGTCTTCTTAATCCTGTAGAATTGGGAGTGGCCCTTTTTCCTTTCCTGGTATTGGCAACTTATTTCTTCTTTCTTTTTTCCAGAAAAACTGGAAATTTGTCCATCTTGCTGATTTTTTTAAAATTCTGGATTTTACAAAAATTCTCCAGTTATGGTGTCCGTTTTCTCTGCAGTAGCTGTGGTTATTTCCTTCTGCCGGGTTATTTGGGGACTCAGCCTGTGCTCCTTTAACCCCTTCTTATGGCCGGAACTCTGACTGCTGGCCCTAGTCCTTCCGCTTTGTCAGAAGAAGCAATCAAAGCTATGTGTGTTCCTCTGAGCACCTGTGAGCTTTGTCCCACACATTTCAAAATGTGGTAATCCTACTTGCATTTTGTTCAAAATATTTCCTAATTTCCATTGTGACTACTTTGAATCATGGGCTATTTTTTATACAGCAAAGCCACGTGGTGAGGTGGGTGAATTGTGGACTATTTTTAAATGCACTGTTTGGTTTCGAAAGATGTGGTGATTTCCAAGATATCTTTCTGTTATTGCTTTCTCAGTCTGTTATGGTCAGATGTCACACTCTATTTCAGTGCTGTGCTTTAAGGGTTAGCTGGTGATTTGTTTTAGTGCACATTCAACAGAACGTGCGCTGTGCTGTTGCGCATGGACTGTCACGCAGTGTCCACATGGGGGCTGGCCTATGGCAGTGTCTCATTACGATTTAGTTCCTGAGTGTCCCCGAGAGGGCTTTGGCATGGTGAGTGCATCATCTGGGCCTTGCTCTCATCAGTGGACTCACCCCCTACTGAATGTGCCATTAGGAGGCCAGACTGGCAGGAGGAGGTCGCCGGGGTTCCAACTGGAACCCAGCTCTCCCCTCCCCGTGTTTTGGCTGCCGTGAGGTGAGCAGCTTCCTCCCCCATGCCCTCCACTGTGACATTTCTGCCCTGGAGCCGGCTGACCATGGACTGAAACGCCCGAAACTGTGAGCCGGACAAACCTCTCCTCCTTTAATTGGTGGGCATTGAATATTTCATGCCAGCGCCTGGAAAGTGACAAATACACCAGTGTTATCAAACCTGGCGTCCAAGGCCTGACCATCTTCCCTTTAAGTGTTTTCCTACCCTCCCTCCCCATTTGTCCGGCCAACTCTTACTCCTGTGCCCGAGGCCCCACTGTCCCCACAAAAGCCTTTTTTTTTCTCTCTGTCCTTTGCTTTGGATAGCTGCTGTATCTTCTGGTTCACTAATCTTGCCTTCTGCATGGTCTAATCCCGGGTTCATCTAAATTCTGACGGTTGTGCCTGCGTCTCAGCTCCATTTGGCTCCATTTGGTTCCTTTGCCCTTTTTTGCAGTCTGCCGGGCATTCTTCTGTTGATTCAGATGGAAATGGTGAATCGGCACAGTGCAGCTCTGCTCACAACCCTGGTGACAGCGGACAAAGCTGGGAGAGGAGCCAGGCTGTGGTCGGGGTGCACCCATGTTGTGGGATGAGGCAGAGGGGCAGAGTGACCTCGAGACAGCAGGGAGGGCACCGAAGCAGGCTGTTCCAGTCCGTGGGGTGGCGGGGCCCAACCACAGCAGGAAGGACAGGAGAGTCCCTCGCTTCTGTTTCCTTCCAGCTCCCCAGCTGTCGCTGAGACCTTTTGCTCCCCATCTGCCGATTCCCCTGACTGCTGCTGCAGGGTTTGACTCACACCGTGCTCATGGGCTGTAGCGTCCTCTTCCCACACCCAGTCACCAGGCCCGAGTGGGCCACGTTTCCTCCCGTGAATGAGCGCCAATTCCCCGCCCACTTTCCCGGAAGCAGCTCGGGCTCCGGGGTTCCTGTGCTGTCTCTGGGGCTGGGTGCACAGACCAAGCCTTGGCCCAAGGGCAGGATCAGCTCTGCCTGGTCACAGTGACACGGCTGTGGGTTAGGGAGGCCCTTCTCTGCTCGACCAGAACCCAAAAACCCCGCCCTCGGGAAGCCATATGTCCCAGGGACCCCGGGCGGTAGGGGTGCTCCCCACAGGGTCCACTCCTACCGGCCCACACCCACCTGAGACATGGCTGCCTGGGGTCCTCCGGGAGGACACTGGCTGGAGTCCTGCAGGACACAAGACTCGGCCCTGCTCTTGGCCCCCAACCCACCCGCACCAGTGCATTCCGCCTCCTCAGGCCTCATAGTGAACAGAGACCCCAGTTGAGGGTCCTTAGGGCGGGCTGAGGCCAGGCCATGGTGGAGCTTGGTGGTGGTGAGCATGGGTGGGAGGAGTGTGACTCGGTCTCCCCACTGCCCATGCGTCCTCGAAACCCACACGGAAGGGGCCCTGAGGGCCAGAGAGCCATGGAGAGTCAGAGCCGGATGAGGCAGTGGGTCACGATGTCCCTCGACTGGCCCAGGACGTGTACTGAATGAGGACATCGTGATGGGCATACAGGAGTCTAGACACAAGCAGGCGAGTGCTCCATGTGTGGACAGTGACCTCCGGGGTCAGCATCGGCCCTGGTAAAGGGCCAGCTGGGGTCAGGGAGCGCTCTGCCCCAGGCCTGGGGAAGCAGAGGCCAGGTGTGGGTCTCTGGGCCATTCTTCTGGACCTGGTGACCATCTGCAGGTCTTTAGCCGGTCAAGAAAGTGCTGGACACAGCATAGCTTTACGTCCCAGTCACCACCTGTGTCCACCAGCATCCCATCACTGTAACAAATCCCAGAGAGAATCCATTCATCAGGAGAAAAGGTTTCTTTTGGCTCATAGTCTCTGAGGCCATGGCCACTGGTCCCGTGGGACTGTGGAGGGGGAGGTGCTCACTGGTGGGAGACACAAGATAGAGTGAGAAGGGGCTGGGGCTGCCACCCTCTGCGGTAAAGCCCACGTGGCAAGAGGCTCCCCACGAGGTCCTCCTCCCGGAGGCTCACCGGCTCCGAGCAGTGCTGCTGTGGGGTGAGCCTGTGGCGTGGATGAACCTTGGGGTCGCCTGCAAGCTCAGCGCTTTCCTGTGTTGTTGCTAAGCCAGGGAGAGCCCGGGGGACGGCTTTCACCAAATGAACCCCCCAGGAGCTCACTGCTGTGGAGCAGACCTCAAGGGCCAGGCCGAAGCCACCTGCTGGGAGTCGGTGCCAAGGGTGGTTTTCCCGCGGGTCGCATGCCCTGGCCTCCTAGGCAGCCTCCTACCCTGTCCCAGAGCAGGGCCAGTCAGGAGAGGCTGACCCACAGCCCCAGGACCCCGCTGCACAGTCCGTGTCCTCTCGAGTTGGCCCTCACTCTGTCCAGGCCAGGGCCCGGGCCGTGTGGGTGATGCGTGTGCACGGTTCTTTCCCTCTGCCTGGAGCCAGGTCACCCACTGTCCCCACCCTGGGGCCGTCGAACCCCCGTGCAGGTGGCAGGGGCGGGACAGGTCCCCGTCAGACACGGTGCTCAGTGGCTGCTTGGAACATCATGAGGGCTCCTGCTGCAGCCCCACCGTGTGGCCCTCGTGGCCGTGGAGTCACAGCATCCTCGCGCTGCTGTGACAGCCCGTGCGCCCGTCTCCTTACCTTGGCCCGGCAGGACTGAGAGGCCGAGGGAGACAGTGCCCACGCAGCTGGACACAGAGGCCTGGCCCCACTGCCCACGTGGCTCCCCACACCAGCGGCACCAGTGGAACCCACAGGAGCATTTCGGGTGACACAGAGCGGCAGGTGCTGCTCACGGTGGAAGACACTGTGTGGAGGGAGAGTTAAAAGGGCGAAGTGAGCAGGACTGGGGAGTGAGTAACGGCAGAGACAGCTGGGGACAGAGCCAGGGGCCTCAAAGGGGCAAGGCCTGGAATGCCGCCTCCCTCTGCGTCAGTCCAGACTGGGGGAGCCGCACTGCCCTGGGCACACAGGGCCACAGAGGACCAGAGGGAGCAGAGTACAGTGTGCAAAGGAAGAAAATATGGCCATGTGGCCCAGCAGTAGAACAGCCAGGGAGAGCCAGAGAGCCAGGTCTGGTTTAGTCAGGCATCTTTATTGGTCAGTTTGTTCAATGCACGGGGGCAGGTAGGGAGAGTGGGCACAGCCACAGGGCATCTAGAAGCCCTCCCAAGGGCAACGGCACTGAGATGGCCCTTTAGCTTCTCAAGACCATTCAGCCTGCAGCCAGCTGGACAAGCGACACCAGGACATGGTCTAAGTGTGGGAGCGGTTCAGGCGCAGCTATGAGCTTCCAGGTGGGACCTGAGCCTTCTGGCCCTGAGGACCAGCAGGTCAGCAGCAGGACTTCTGGCCCAGGGAGAGCCCACAGCAGGCTGGGCGGGGGCAGGCAGGGCTGCATAACAGGGACACGGAAGAGGAGGGCTTGCAACAGCTGGGCTGGCAGGAGGAGGAGCAGCAGGGGGAGGCGGGTACACAGCAGGTGGGTCTGCACACCGGGCGGCAGAGCAGGGACATGGAGGAGGAGGAGGGCATGCAACAGTTGGGCTTGCAGCATATGGACACACAGCAGGATGGCTGGCAGGGGGAACAGGAGCAGCAAGCCGGCTGGCAGTCAGACTGCTGGCAGCAGGAGGAGGAAGAGGCCTGGGAACAGATGGGGGTGCAGCAGACAGGTGTGCAGCACACAGGCTTGCAACAGACAGGTGTGCAGCACACAGGCTTGCAACAGATAGGTGTGCAACAGACAGGCTCACAGCAGGACGGCTGGCAGGGGGAGGAGCAGCAAGCAGACTGGCAGTCAGACTGCTGGCAGCAGGAGGAGGAGGCCTCGGAGCAAATGGGGATGTAGCAGACGGGCTTGCAGCACACAGGCTTGCAGCAGACAGACTCACAGCAGGACGGCTGGCAGGAGGAGGAGCAGCAAGCCGGCTGGCAGCTCGGGCTGGACTCACAGCTCACTGGGGTGCAGATGAGGCTCAGGCAGGGGGCCGGGGCGCAGCAGCTGGGCTGGCAGCAGCTGGGGGCGCAGCAGGGGGGCTCGCAGCAGGAGGCGGCCATGGCGGGGTTGGGCTGGGAGTGAGTGTGTGAGTGTGAGTGTGAGTGTGAGTGAAGTATGTGTGAGGTGCCGGGCTCTGGGCTTTTATCCCCCTCCCTGGCGGTGCTGCCCTGTCCATTTTGAGGCCCCACAACTTCCTCCTTCCTTGTTGATATTTGCAGCCACTTCCTGGAGGTAAAAAGCAGCAGTGACTCTGTTGCCTATTTTGTTGCTCTGATCACAACCCCAGAGAGGACTGAGCTGGGGTGCAGGTCCTAACTTGTTTTCAGTCTCAAAGAGCAAAGCAGGGAAGCCGTGGTCCTGTGGGCTTCTTCTGCACAGTGCTGTCAGCCAGGGGCACCGTGTCTGCAGATGCTGGACTGCTGACCTGGGTCCTGTCCTTCTGAGTGACTCTCAGAGCTGTGTTTGTGCATCCACATGCAGGACTCCGCCATGGGAGCCAAGCGCCTGCACCAAGGGCTGGAGGAACTCGGGTCTCAGCCTGGGAGTGGACATATGGGTTCAGATGGCGGGGCTGTGGTCGCTGCATGCCCTGGCTCCTGGTGTCATGGCCACTGCTGGTGTCCCCTGCTCATGAAGGCACCATCCTGGTCTCAGCCTGTCTCCTTCCACTCAGCGCCTGCCCTGTGTTGCTCTGTGTCTGAGTTGCTTGTCCTGAGTACGCAGTCGGGCTGGACCAGAATCCCCCTACCCCCTGTGACTGTCTTACTGGATCTGCTACAAGGCCCTATTCCCAAGGTCACCGCACAGACACTGGGTCAGGGAAGGACTTCGCATCCTCTGGGAGAAGACAGTTCAGGCTGCGGCCCATACGTGCCGTGAAGCAGGCCCAAGACTCAGACCAGGTATGGATGCTCACGGGCTCCCATCCAGAGCTGGTGAGGACAGGAACCAGGGGCGCAGGACATGGACCCCAAAGCACACGCGTGCCGACCCAGCTTCAGCACACGACTTTTTACATCTTCCCGAATGGTTGTTAGAATGGTGGCGAGCGCCCACAGGAGCCCCACACTGCTTCCTGTGCTGCTCCAGATGCAGTGATCCAGTGGCCAGACTCAGCTCTGGTAGAGCTCCCCCTTCAGGACCTCACGGGTACTGCGCCAAGGCTCCTCCAAGATCCCCCCCCACCTCCCCCACCCCCGCTCGCCTTTCCGTGTCCTTTGTGACCTTGAGCAGAGCCGTTTCTGCCTAATACCCCTCAGCTGGGCCAGGCCGGCGTTTGCTGTTGGTGAGTCTGTGCTTCTCGTGGGCGGAACACAGGATGCTGGCTGGCCTGGTCCCGAAATGTCATTGTTCCTCCATCCGCTGTTGCTCAGGGTTTGGGGGTGACTCCAAGGCTTCAAGTAGTAGATCCCTACTTTCTGTGCACACCTTTGCCCAGTAGTCCTCCTTCCCCATCCCAGGGACCCGGTCTTAATTTCTTTGATTTGATGAAAGAAAATGTGCTCTCGAGGGCCTGCTCCAGGTCCTCCTCGGGCTCTGCCTCCTGCCAGCTGCCACCCCCAGGAAGCGCCCCACGGACCGGCATGGGCAGCTGCCTGGCCCCTGCTCTTCCAAGGACAGAGTGACGGGCCCCCAGGCACACCTGCCGCCGCCGAGAGCCCTGCGGGGTCCTGCATGCTCCAGGCACGGGTCCTGCTGCCACCCCCAACCACCTGGGCCTGCTGCCCTCAGCGACCTGCCCCCGAAACCGTTGGCTGTTGGTCCAAGACTCCTGCAGGCAGCACCAGCAGAGCGGGCCATAGGAGCACATGTGTGCCACTGCCGCCTCCAGCGGACTTGGGCAGGGACACAGGGGTTCTGTCTAGGCAACGGGGAGCCGAGAATCAGGCCAACTACGGGATGGCAACCATCCGAGGTCCCATCCACGGAGAAGGGGTTCCTGTGCCAGGCGGCAGCAGCCCCTGCCGGCCGTCTCTCAGGACCATTCTTGTCCCCAGGCAGGTGGGCGTGTGGTCCCTCTTCCATGTCCTTCTGGCTGTGTTCACTATCATTTTTGGTTGGGGCCAGCACGGTATTCTTGACTCTATCAGCTACTGGTGTGAAGTGCAGAAAATGCTCAGGACAGACCCCACCCCACAGGCATCGCAGCTGTGGCCATCACCGCCCCAAAGTCCTGCCTAACCCACCTGTGCTCTCTTTCACACAGACCTGCGCCCCCTGGACATCCTGGCAGAGGTGATCCCTTCAGATGGCGCCGCAGGCAGGATCAAGATGACGCAGGCACAGGGCGTGCGGGGCCTCCAGCTCTCGGCCACCGCACCGCAAACAGTGAGCTTCCCGGCCTCCAAGATTTTCTCCAGATGTGACCTCTTCCCTGAGGAGTTTTCCATCGTTGTGACCCTGAAGGTTCCCAGCCTTCCGCCCAAGGTCAGTGGCACTTTCCCGCTCTGAGGTGGGAAGACCTGATTTTCCCAAGATCGGTGTGCACAGGGAGCGGCACTGGTGGGGCTGTGGCCGGTGGGCACCTGTTGAGGTCCCTGAGCCACCTCTGGGTGCAGAGTGCTTGCCCTGTCACCTTGCTAAGTGTGCAGGCCATATGGGATGCCATGTGCCGGGGCTGCACTGCTGAATATGCGCTGGAGGACGCAAGCTTGGAGCTCGTGCTGATGTCCTCTGCCGTGTGCTAACGGCACTTCTGGGAGGCCCTTCCTGGGGTGCGGTCCTGCGCCTCCTCCCTCTCTTCCCTACTGGCCTGAGGGCAGAGACCAGGGGCATTCATCTCTACCTCCCTACACACCAGACGCCCCACACCCCACATAGACACACAGATACACACTCACACACCGTGCACACGAGCAGCCACTCAGATGTAAGTACATACACACAGACACGGATCAACACCCACACCATGCACATAGAGCACACACATGATGTACACGCACACACACACACAGATGCACACTCACACTATACACACATGGGCGCACACACAGTGGTCCACACAGACATACGTGAGTCCTGGGATACGCCCAGTAGAGAAGTGTGGATTTGTGTCTGGGACTCAGCCTGGCACCGAGGTGACTCCTGCAGGCTCCCCCGTGTCAGACGTGGCCCAGGACCCACTGCCCTGTGCCCCTCCTCTGACAGAGATGCAGGTTATTTATGGCTTCTCTGTTTTACCCACTGATCTTTTTATTTATATGCCAGTACCATAGAGTCCGTAGCTTTGTCACAAATTTTAAAATTTGGAAGTGTGAATGATTGCTCTTTCTTCTTCTTCAAGAGTGTTTTGCTTATTTTGGTGCCCTTGCTATTCCACACATTAATTTGAAAGTAAACTTGTTGATTTCTACAAAGTCAGCCGGCTCCCGACAGGAACTGGACAGATCTGTACATTCACTTGGACATTGCTGCCATGTTCACAGAATTAAGACTTCTGGCCCACAGACGTGGGCTGTTTTTCCACTGATTTACAGCTTTAGCAAAACAAGAACAGTGTTTTATAGTTTTCAGAACATAAGTTTTGCGATTCATCTGTTAAACTCATGCCTCTGTATTTTTTCTCTTCAGTGCTGTTGTACACAGAGTTGTTGTCTTAACTTTTGACTTGTTCATTGCAGATAGGTAAAGTACACTTGATTTTTGTACACTGATCTTGTATCCCGTAACTGTGTCCTGTTTCCTTCTATTCCTCACTTGCTACATTGTTCCATCATGAATGAGCATTGGACTTTGCCACGCACCCTTTCTGCATCCACTGGTTGTTTTATTACATTAATTGATTTTTCGGATGTTAAATAGATCTTTCGTGCCGTGGGTATATTCCGAGTGGCCATTGCGGCAGTTTTACGTTAGTGTGACAAATACAGGACACGATCAGCTTAGAGAGAGGAAAGGTTTGCCTTGGCTCAACGCACAGCTCTGTCCAGTCACTCGGTCCTGTGGCCTTTCGGCCTGTGGTGAGGCAGCGCCTCATGGTGGGAGTGCACGGCAGGGACACTGCTCGCCTCGCCTCGCCTCACGTGGCCAGGAAGCACAGCGAGGAAGAGGAGGGCAGGGACTCGGTGCACCTCCCGGGGGCGTCCCTGTGACCCAACTCCTTCCACCGGACACTGGACGCACCCCTTAGGGCTTCCAGCACCGACAGCAGCACTGCGGGGGACCAAGCCTGCAGCACGTGGGTGTCGGGACAGTTCAGACCCAGACTACGGCATCTGTGGTGCTAAAATCTTCTCTATGTTGCTAGACTCAGTTTGACAGTGTTTTGCTGAGGATTCTGCATCCATATCACGAAAGAGGCCAATCCGTGGATTTCCTGCGATTCTCTCACCTGACAGTAGTAGGGGAGTGACACTGACCTCGGAGGATCAGTCTAGATGAAGCATCTGCTTTTCCAGTTTTCAAGAGCTCGTGAAGAATCGCTGTTTCTTCTCCCTCTCCTCCTGCTCTTCGTCCTCTTCTCCTTCTCCTTTTACTTCCACTGCAGCCTCGATTCTTTTCTTGCTCGCATTGGCTTTAGCTTTAGTTTGCTCTTGTTTCTCCAGTGTCTTCAAGCACAAGGCCGGAGTATCGATTAGCTGAGACTGTTCTTGGTGTAGGTAGTGACACTTTAAACGTCTCTCAGAGTAGCATTTGTGCTGCTCCCGTAACTTCTGGCATTTTGGTCTTCCTTTTTGTTCGTCTCGACTTGCATGATTTTCTTCTTGACAGCTCCCTGACTCTTCAGTCATACAAGGGGTACGCTGTTCAATGCCGCACGGTTGTGGGTTTCCCTAAATTGTTCTGTGGTTGACTTTTAATCGCATCCCATTATTGCCAGAGTACATGCTTGGCCTTTCCTTTCCCCTTGCATTCATTTAAGTCTGTTTCATGGCTGAGCTTCTCTCCGAGCCCAGTCTGTGCCTTTCAGGGAGTGCGTGTGGCTGCGTTCTGTACCTACCCGCTCGCTCTCATGGACTCGCTGTGTTACACAAGCCTTCTGGTTTCTTTTTTAAAAATATACTTTGTATTTAAGACTAAATGGACAGACACTAAAGAAGTAAAGAAAAGGTTATTTTAAAGAAAAGGTTATTCATTTTGCCAAATGTTTACAGTGATTTGAGCTCAAAAGCTCTAATTTTCATCTGATTCCTTCAATCAGTTCTTCAAAATATGCCATGTGAGGCTGACCAAGGGAACATTTTACAACCTCCACCTCTGCGTCCCCCGTTCTTCTCCAGTTGAAAGTGAGTGCAAACCACAGTGTCTTCATCCATCCGAATGTGTTTCAGTCCAGTCAGGAGCATTGTCCTTGTAGATATTCCTGGAAATACCTGATACTTCTGCAAGCGTCTCGCTATATATGGAGGAGGAGCAACCAACCCCACGGCAGCTTTGCTTTATGTAAAGAGGGTAGCCTTTCTCTTCCCAAATCTTGTCGGTGACTCCAGGGTCCACATGATGGCAGCACTTGGGCACTGCTTGTCACAGTGCACGCTCTCCACCGCCCAGGCTCCATTCCGGGACTTGCTGAAACTCAGCGCTAGCCTCTTTCATCTGATCTCAGGCAGTCCATCGGGAATTCCAGTAACATTGATCTTCACTTGAGAGACCTCTGCGTGAACCTGAAGTCTGACCCCTGCACTGGTGGAACTGGCTTGGCTGTGACCACCACATTCACATCCTTCATCCACACTTGAGGTTTCCCCACTCTTTTCGCATTTTGTGCAACTCCTTCTTTTTCCCAGGTGGGAAGTGCTTGTCCTTTCTGCAGCTCATCAGACACTTGTGAGCTCACTTGAAAGGAGCAGGAGATATTTAAAAGCTGGCTGTCATCTTCAGCATTCTCGAATGATGCGAACATCACCCGTGTCTCAGGAATGTCCGCTTTAATCTGGAATCCTTGGTGGGCTCTTGTGCCTTAGCGTCAAGCTCTGGATCTCCTCCTGTAGCTGGATATTTTCCTTTCTAATTTCATCAAGTAATCCCTCATTTTGTTCATCATTCACAGATTCTTCATCCAGCTGTTTTTCTTTAAGTACTTGATTTTTGTTGCTTTGATCGGGTTCCATTCTCCGCGACCACCAACCAACCCAGTGAGGGACCCAGGACCTGCGCTCGCCCTTCCTGGAAGCCAGGGGCGCCCTCCGTGGGAACCGCACAGGCTGGGAGGGATGCCCTGGGCCAGGGCTGGGGCTGGAGCTGGCGCTGTCTCTGGCGATCTGAGGTGCGATCTGAGGTGCCCACAGAATTGGTGTCCTCGCTTGGTTCCTGTGTCTCCAATGATTGCCACTAACTCACAAGCCTTCTGGCTTCTTGTTGCCCATCTACCTAGTTGTTCTATCCATCGTTGGAAGCAGGGTGCTGAAATCTCCAACTAATGTGGAATCCTCTGTCTCACCTGCACTTCTGTCAGTCTTTGCTGATGCACTCTAGCGCTCTGTTGTTATTTGCATATATACTTATATTTGTTATACCATCCTAACAGGTTAATTATCTATAAAACATGCCCCTTTATCTCTAGCAAACACACTTGTCTTAACATCTATTTTATCTGGCATTAGGTTAGCTATTCCAGTTTTTCTGGCACTGGGGATTGAACTCAGTCAGGACTTTGCTCTTGCGAGGCAGGTGGTCCCCAGCACAGCCATTCCAGTTTTATTGTAGTCTCTGTTTGCATGTACATGTCTTTCCATGCTTTTACTTTGTTCCTGTTGTTGTTGTTATCATTATTGTTTTGAAACAGGATCACTGTGCAGCTCAGGCTGGTCTTGAATTCACTATGTAGCCCAAGCTGTCCTCAAACTCACAGTGACCCTCCTGCCTCAGCCTCTCAAGTTCTGGGATTACAGGTGTGCACCACCACACCTTCTACTCTCAATCTATTTGCATCTTTGAGTCTAAATTATGCTTATTGTAGAGAGCATTTAATTGAATCCTGCTTTTTAAAAAATCTGGTCTGACAACCTCTGCCTCTTGATTTCATTATTTAATTAATTCATATTTAATGGTATTGATACATTTTTGACACTCATTTGTAGGGTGTGTCTTCTTTGTATATTCACCTACTTGCTAAAATGGACTTGTAACCCCTAAATCAGTATTTGGGGTACTTTCGTAGCCATTCATGGACATTCGTGGGATGGTGGAAATATTATTTGCCAACATCACGTTGCCAGTAGATCTGAACAAGGTCGTGTCCCACCTTTTGGTTTCACCTCTCAAACAGTAAATGAGTACCTTTTTTGTGGTATATCAGATACCAGTTTTCATGTTTTTGTGCTCTTCTAATTAAAAGCTACTTTTGGTGATTGTGTTGTTTGAATGGGCCCGTGGCATAGTGACAGACTGCCGTATAGTGTTCCACAGGGAAAACGCCGTGTTGTACCTCACAGGGAAGCAGGTGTGTTTGCACACTCAGGCATGAGTCGTGGAGTTGTTGGCTATGG